ACAGCCCAAAGTAAAGCAGTACTCACCAGGTGAGGCATCAGGAGGTCAGCCAGGTAGACAAAAGCAGCTCCAAGGGTGAAGCCAACAGCCACTGGGAAGAAGGCAAAGGCACCAAAGCCCCCTGAGGATGTGGCCATCTCAACCGCTGGGGCCAGGAGAGACCAATAGGAAGCTGCTAACATGACCTGCAAAACCACGGGGAGGAAGAGATCATCAGAACCACCACGCCGGGCTTCCCAGTGGGGCCTTGGTGCTCCCTGAGGCCCAAACAGACCCTACCATTTCATGTGAGTTAGGCCTTTAATATCAAGTGGTAAGTATTATCCCAAACCAGAAAGCCACCTCCAGAACTGCTGAACTACTGTTGTTAGAACTCATTTTGGAGTAGGATAGAGTTGGCCCTAGGAGAATGCCGTCAACTAGCCTATAATTCAGTGGTTCTCCACTAGGGATGATTTTGCCTTCCACAGGACATCTGGCAACGCCTGGAGATGTTTTTAGTTGTCACATCGGGATCAGGGTAGGGAAGGCTGCTGCTGACATCTAGTAAGTAGAGGCCAAGGGTGTTAGCAAACACCTTACAAGGCACAGCATGTCCTTGACAACAAAGAATTGTCTGGCCTTAAATGTCAGTACTAACACTGAAAAACCCTGTTCTAATTGAATACTGCTCACTATTTCATGAGCTCCACTGCATTATAAAGCTCTAATTATTACCCAGTCCTTCCTTATGCTGGGCTGAAATCCATCTCCCTTCCGTTTGCACCTATCGGCTGGACGTCTGCTCTTTAGAGCACCGAAGAATGTGTCTCCTCTGTGACATGTGACAGCCTTTGAAATATTTAAAGACCACAAAATTGGCCTCATCAATTTTTTTATCTCTAAAATTGATTGATCATCTACCTTTTCCAGGGACTAAGCTTTACGGCTCAGATCTTATTTTATCGTCACAACAACTCCAGGGGGCAGAGCCTGTTTTTCTATTGTTACTTGTAGATAAAGAATTTGAATCTCAGGGTCACTGAGATCCAGGGCACTGACCAAGCAAGGCCATCACCCACTTGATGAGGGGAGAATCATGAAGGAGAAGAGGAAAATGAGGCTGGTCTCGAATCTCAGCAAGGCGTGTGTGATAACAGGTTCTCCCTCACTGGCCCAATGAAACACTCATCCATGGCTTGTTTACTCTTACAGATGCCGGGGTATCTTTTGGAAAGAGTACACCCACTGCCATCATTACTATTCTACAGGCATCATCAACACAGGAAATGTTGAATGGGTTTCTAAAAATTACTTAATTATGCCTTGCCTTAAAAAAATTACCTGCATCACCCATCTCCAAAATAACATGCAGAGTGACAAAGCCCGGTATTTCGACAGCAACAATAAAGAACAAATCCACAAACTGCCTTCTGCCAGGCGTCATTCACACACAGCCTCTTGCTCTGGGCCAAATTCTCCCAGTGAAACTGCACCTGCTTCAGAAACTCCCAGAAAGAATGAAAATGCCTCGGCTAAATAGAATGGGAGCTGATGCCGACCAGTTTAAGTCCATGAACCCAGCTGTCAAAAAAGATCATTAAAGCAAGTCTGAGGGCTCCTCCTCCCCGTCACAGCCTAATCCATCTCTTTCCCAGACTTAGTTTCGGTAAGTCTAGAATTCAACAGCCCCACCGAGGAGGACCTGCACAGGCTCAGGGATGGAGAAGGCCTTTCCCTCCTTCTAAGCTGGACCTGTCCAGCAACCTCTCTCCTGGCATGTTTCAAGGTCTCCCACATGGTCCCACTTTCAACAACTCTAAAAACCACTTGATCCCGAGTCTAAATGCTCCCCACCCTGCATCCTTCGACAAGGAAATACAACATCGTTGTCAACATGACCTGAGTTTCTTCCCTGACTTCATCTCCTTTCCCACACAAAGTCCAATCCCTTCTGTCAAAATTCCTTCCATTCTGCTGCTTCACAGAGGGATACGTCCCCTAATCGTGAGAAACACACAAAGTTCTCACCAACAAGTTATTCAAGGTAGGGCAGAAGAGAAGCATCTCTCAAGGGAGGGCATGCTGGAATCAGGGGTGTCCATAAGGCAAAAGCATGTCATGTGACTTAGGAGGGCCCCCCTCCCTGAGAATCACTGTTTTGTCTCTATCTTGCCTGACAAATCCAGGCCCAGCTAGATTTCCTTCATTCCCTTTACTTGACAGCATCCCAGTCTCCTCCATAAACTAGAAAACAACCAAACAGGCTTGGCGCCTGTGGCTCAAGCGGCTAAGGCGCCAGCCACATATACCTAAGGTGGCGGGTTCGAATCCCCAGCCCGGGTCCGCCAAACAACAATGATGGCTGCAACCAAAAAATGGCCAGGCATTGTTGCAGGCGCCTGTGATCCCAGCTACTTGGGAGGCTGAGGCAGGAGACTCGCTTAAACCCAGGAGTTGGAGGTTGCTGTGAGCGTGATGCCATGGCACTCTACCAGGGGGGATAGCTTGAGGCTCCGTCTCAAAAAAAAAAAAGAAAACAACCAAACAATCTGGAAATGGAATTGGGTTGCCTGCCTACGAGGATGGTAGGGTCCAAAGAGAAGTTATTTACAGAGCATGTGTGGTAGGAAAGATGACCACGTCCTAATGCCCAAAATCTGTGAATATTTCACCTTTCATAGCAAAAAGGACTCTGCAGGTGTGATTAAATTAAGAACCTTGAGATGGGGGATCATCCAGGATTGTCTGAGCAAGGCCAGTGTAATCATAACAGTCCTCATGAGTGAATAAAAAGGTCAGAGTTGGGCAGGAGATGTGATGACGAAGGCAGAGGTTGTCAGGGAGAAAGACTGGGACACCCTGTGCTGGTGGCTTGAAGATGGAGCAAATGTCACGAGCCAAGGCATGCAAAGTGGGCCTCTGTGCTAGGAAGGCAAGGAAACAGAAGCTCCTCTGAAGCCTCCGAAACAACACACCCCTGTGGCCATCTTGATCTGATCTCACTTAAGCCACTGTGGGCCTCTGACCTCAGCACTGTAAAATAATAAACTCAAGTTGTTTTAACCCACTCTGTTTGTAGTAGTTTGTTACAGCAGCAAATGGAAACTAATACAGCATGTAAAGGCAAAGGGGGGTTGGTGTGCTCCCCCACTTAATGGCACAATGTAAAGGTATATGGCACACCCTCCGGGTGTGGGATATGACTACTATAGGCACTCTACCCAACAAATGCAAACATTGCAACCTAATTGTTTGTACCCTCATATTAATTGAAAAAAATCTTAGAGCACTGCGGTTTGCAGAAAAACTGAGTAGAAAGTATGGAGAATAGTCATATACCCCCAGTTCCCATATACACACACTCTCCCCCACTACCAATTTCTCATACCACAGTGGTGCATTTAACACAACTGATTAGGCCAGGCGAGGTGGCTCATACCCACAATCTAGCAATCTGGGAGGCCCAGGCAAGTGGATTGCCTGAGCGTACAGGTTCAAGACCAGCCTGAGCCAGAGTGTAGCTCCATCTCTAAAAATAGCCAGGTGTTGGGGTGGGCACCTGTAGTCCCAGCTACTTGGGAAGCTGAGACAAAAGAATTGCTTGAGGATGAAAGTGTGAGGCTGCTGTGATCTGTGACACCCAGCACTCTACCCAGGGTGACAAAGTGAGACTCTGCCCTAAAAAAAAAAAAAAAAAAAGTAATGTAACTGCTGAGTCTTCATGGACACAGCATTACAGCCCACGGCACACAGCTCACATCAGGGTCCACTCCACACTGCACATTCTGTGGGTCTTGACAAATACATAATGACATGTGTTCACTGTCACAGTATCAGGCAGCGTAGTTTCACTGCCCTGAAGATCCCTTGTCCCTCCACCTGTTCATCCTTCCCCCCTAAATCCTGGAAACCCCTGGGTTTTTTACTGTCTCCATAGTTTTGCCTTTTCCACAAAGTCCCAGAGTTGAAATTATACAGTATGTAGCCCTTTCAGATCAGCTTCTATCACTTGGCAATATCCGTTTAAGTTCCTAAGGCATCTTTTCATGACTCGCTAGCACATTTCTTTTGAAAGCTGAATAAAATTGCGTTGCCTGAATGTACCACAGTGTATTCATCCGGTCTCCTACCCAAGGGCAGCCTGGTCGCTTCCAAGTTTTGGCAATTAAGAATAACACAGCTACAAACATTCGTGTGCAGGTTTTCGTGTGGACAGAAGTTTTCAGTTCATTTGGGTAAATAAATACCAAGCAGTGTAACTGTTGGCTCCTATGGCAACCATTACTTTTTAAAAAGTCCCCCAATGTAGGTGGCCTACGGGAAGCTCTCAACGCCAGCAAAATTCCCACAAATGTTGGGGGGTTTTCAATCTGGACATGGTGACATATTAACCAACAGACAGAGAAGCAGGAAGCAAAGTATCTGATTAACCCTCAACTGGGGTCTGCATGGAGAGAGAACACTAGACTTCAGGAAATGGGTTCTAAAGGCAAGTCTCGCCAGCCAGACCTTTTGTGACCCCAGGGAGTAGACAGAAAGATTCCTCCTGCACCTGTGACCCTGCTTGTATAGCACAACAGGTAGACTTGCAGGCCCAACCCTGAAGACACCACGAGAAGACCTTACTCCCCATCTTGGTCTAGGCAAGGAATGCATGATCAAGTTTCAACACCTACAGCAGGGCCCCTCTGCACCCCAAAATGAAATGCCTCTTTAGTCCCAAAATGAAAATAAAATGCCCAATCAATCAATGAATGCAGGGAAAGCTTGTGGAGCCACCATCCTCCAAGCTCAAAGTTGCTAAGACCAAAGCAGCCCTGTATTCTTTTGCTAAATAATGGAAGAAGCTCAAGGGAGTAAGTATTTCAAGATCAACAACAAAAAACACCTGCAGGGAGGCACCTGTGGCTCAAAGGAGTAGGGCCCAGCCCCATATACCAGAGGTGGTGGGTTCAAACCCGGCCCTAGCCAAAAAAACTGCAAAAAACTAAAAAAACAACACCTGCAAAAGAGCTGAGGAAGAAAAAAACAACAAAAGAAAAGGGGCTGAACTTCTGTCTTTGGCTGGTTTGGTAGGCCTACCGCAGGGCTCAGAAATTTGAATGTTTGCATAGAGTGATCGTCGGGCAAGCTGATGTTTAGGAAGGTATAATTTCTTTACTTCTTCCCGTGCCCAAGGTTGAATCTCACCTTAGCTCTCTTC